GGGGGGGGGGCAAACACTTTTTCACACAGGGCCATGTGGGTTTGGATTTTGTTAATAATAAAAACCTTACTTTAAAAACTGCATTTTGTGTTTACTTGTGTTATCTTTGACTAATATTTAAATTTGTTTGATGATCTGAAACATTGAAGTGTGACAAACGTGCAAAACAATGACAAATCAGGAAGGGGGCCAACACTTTTTCACACAACTGTAGATTGTTAGAGCACTGACTAAATATTCATATTCTCAGGAGTTAAACCTTAAAAATAAATTCAAGTAACCTAACTATTAACAGAACTTTAGCTTATTTGTGTATCACTCAGCTGTAGATTCTCAAATCATCTCTGAATTCATGCTGACACTGTCCTTCCTTCTGGAGGGTGGCTACTTTTGTTCACCATGGTCCCTGTGTGTGTTGTAAAGTAGCCACCACTCCAAGCTCACTCATGTGATGGACTACAATCTCAAGTTTAGTTTACTAATTTGTATTAAGATTGTAGTACATGCAGGAGCGAGCTTGGAGAGGTGGCTACTTTACAACACACACAGGGACCATGTGGAACAAAAGTTCTCCATGGACCAGAAGGAAGGGCAGTGTCAACATGAATTCAGACAGGATTTGAGGATTTACAGCGTGATACACAACTAAGCTACATTTATGTTAATAGTGAGGTCAATCATTGTGGTGGCTACTTTTGTTCCCCATGGTCCCTGTGTATGTTGTAAAGTAGCCTTTTAGATTGTAAGCCCTCACGGGCAGGGCCCTCCTTACCATCTTGTCTTGAATTGTATTGTGATTGTAATGTCTTCCTTATATTGTAAAGTGCTGCGGAAACTGTTGGCACTATATAAATCCTTTATAATAATAATAGTAATAATAATAATAATATTAATAATAAGTAGCCACCTCTCCAAGCTCGCTCCTGTCATGTACTGCAATCTCAATACAAATTAGTAAACTAAACTTGAGATTGTAGTCCATCACGGGAGTGAGCTTAGATCGATGGCTACTTTACAACACACACACAGGGACCATGGGGAACAAAAGTAGCCATCCTCCAGAAGGAAGGACAGTGTCAGCATGAATTCAGAGATGATTTGAGGATCTACAGTTGAGTGATACACAAATAAACTACATTTTTGTTAATAGTTAAGGTACTTGGATGCATTTTTAAGGTTTAACTCCTGAGTTTAGTGTCACTTTAAGTGCTTATACTACAAGTGGAATCATCTAAATAATAGGCTTAACATTAAGAGCCCCTTTCACATCATCCTGTTTTAATACAGTGTGGTACTGCCCGCACATCAACACATTCTATTTTGCACATTAACATGCCTTGCATTAAGGCAGCTTGTTCATTTAGAATGGGCTCCCAACAAACAGCAGTAGAACAAAAACCAGACCTGCATCATTTTTGTTAACATACATGGTAATACACGGTATGTGCTTTGTGATGCACAGTTGTGGAGGTCCATTGACACCTAATGTGCTAGGCATTGAGGTGCCATTCTGAATTAATGTACCATTCATTAGAGTGCCATTCATTACTGTGCATTGCAGTAAGTGTGAAGAGGGCCACAGTGCTGAAAATAATTTACCTGAGAGAGAAAAACTAAATCCACTATAACTATTATTTTTTGCTCTTGTTTTTTATCATGTTCTTTGAATCATGTTCCCACTTGTGACTCACAGTTTAGTAAGTAGGGTGATGACACTGAAAAAATGCAACCCTGTATAAGAAATACTGGGGGTCACCTGACTGGATATGCAGGATAGCAGGGATTTGTGTATCACAAAACTGGCTGAACAGAATCATAATGTTTTGGGCGGGTCAAAGTTTATATTATAAATTAATTGCAACTATTTAGCTGGGTGCCTAGATATATGCTTTAAGGGTACAGGACTGCTTTATAATTGTACAATGCCTTCAGAAAATATTTCTGCAGAAAGTAAAAGCCTGGACTATGGGAGGTTTTCCCAACATTTACAGTTCAGCACACGCTGGCTGCATTACAATAGACATCACAGCGCAATTATTTCTGAGTAAAAAAAAGACCATTTAGGTACATAATAACCAACGCATTATTAAGCTTGACTTCTGCATTGTGCTGAGTCCATTTAGCGACAATACATATCACAAAGGCAGACTAACAATTTTCATGGAAATCAGTTTGTCTGGCAAACTGACTTGAATTATTAATTCCTATTATTATATTTGTATTTGTATCACAGATTGCCATAGTGAGGGTTTGTGTAGACTGATTGAGCAATGTCTTTTCTGAACACTTTTGTTCATTAGTTTTCCCATCACATAATGCACACTGTATAAACATTCTGTTCATATAAATGAAACTAATGGTTTAATTTCACATTCTGCAGTTTTCAGTATATTTGCATATAATGGTACCCATGGAAAGCTCAACTAACAGACTTAATGTCTATGGGCAAATTTAGAACTCACCTTTGATCTTGCACAAACTCTTTTAGCTAGGTAGGTTTTACTAATTGATTGACCTTCGTGATTAAACTATTTATATGCTCAGCAGGCAACTTTCATTCCATCGATAGAATAAAGAGCAGCAACGCCTCTCAGATCTCACTGAATCCGGTGATTTATTTTTTTAACATTGCACATGGCAAGCCTGCATATCTCTAACATGTTTCATGTCTTACCACTTATGGACACATGGCTGCTATCCTGGTGCTACAAGGTGAACCTGTGAATGGGCTTGTGAGCTTTCTGACATATAATTTCCACTTTTGTTGTGTCACTCCCTGTGACCACACATTTACATCTCAGTATATAGCGGGCTAGTGCCGGGACGGATCCCGACAATACTGTTGAAATCAACCCCGCTGGCTGATTGACAGCGGCCTCTGCCTATCTAGAGGCAGAGCCGCAATGCCCAACCCCTCCACCATCCGTCCCTCGAGTCAGGGCTGGAGGATCAGGGAGGGGGGAATCCCTGCAGATGATCGGGAAGTGAGCGGATTGGCAGTATATTTTTGCTCACTTCCTGAACAATAGGGCCAATGTGTGACAGTTTCAATGTCACAGGTCAACTCTAACTATGGGGATGAGTGTAATTCATAGTTCCAGAGAGAGTGAGGAAAAACAGCCAGGAAAGTGAGGGCAGACAGCCAGGAGAGAGAGTGAGATGAGCCATGGCAGACAGCCAGGAGAGAGAGTGAGATGAGCGAGGAGAGACAGCCAGAGGAAAGATAGGAAAGTCAGCAAGGAGAGAAAGCCAGGAGGGAGAGAGAAGGGATACAGCCAGGAGAGAGCACTGTTCTCCAGCAGTGGGCAATCCATTGATATGCATTGCTGTATGCATCAATAGACTGTTAATGCAGGGTGACTTGGTGATGCTTCCTCAGAGGGTGGTCCCATGTCACCCTGCATTCACAATAATATCCTCAGTCTTCCTCGTTGAGTGATGCTGGGTGTCATTCAACCACGAACACTAAGGTAATCTTCTAGCAGAAAAAAGTACTGCGGTGGGAAGCTCTAGATTGAGGTGCGTGTTCCAGTCAGAGCTTCTTTTTTATATTTAACTGCAGCTGGGGATTTATTTTTCACCCCAAACTGAGCTTTGGCTTTAAATGAGACCTGTACAGGTCTGATAACCATTCCCTAATGTAATGTAATAGTAATCTATGAACCTATCTTTACACTTGCTTCTATGATTTGTCAAAACATGTAAACCCAGTACTTGGGTGCACAGAGAAGCATAATAACTTCAGTAAACACTAAAACAAAACATGATGGTGGACATTTTTTATGCTTGTAGAATAATAGCACATTTTCCTGACAGTTTGCTGAATACATTATTTTTGTTATATTTGCATAGTTTTGTAATGTAATGGTACAGTATTGTCCCCTGCTTTTAAAGGAGAACTCACCTCATAGTTCTAGCCGACCTTTGACAATGAGACTGTCACAGGTCGGCTCAGTAGATCGGGAGGTGAGCGAATACATACCGGCGTTCGCTCACCTCTCGATACTGTCACGGCTCTCTGCCGTGATAGGGGAGGGGCTGGATTCCCCCCTCCCCGCTCCGATCCACCAGCGCTGACTGGTGGATCGGACGGGTTAGGGGGCGTGTACAGCTGGATCTGCCTCTAGATAGGCAGAGCCAGCTGTCAGTCACGCAGCTGGGCGGATCCCGGCACAATTGTCGGGATCCGCTTCAGCGCCTCAGTATACCGCGAGCAGCCGCTCGCGGTATACTGCGGTGTCTCAGTATACCGCGAGCCACAGCTCGCGGTATACTGAGCCTGGGTGACGGGAGGACGCTAGTTTGTGTCCTCCCGCTACCCTAAGGAGAACTATGGGGAAAAGATTTAACCCCATAGTTCCCCTTTAACAGGAGCAAAAATCTATAGAGCCATCTATTATTTAAAAGGCTTTTTTGTTTTTTACCTGGATTTCAGTTTTTTTTTTATAATTTCCTCTCAGGAACATAACAGAAGATATGCGAAAATTTAAGATTTATCTGTGCTTTGTCTGTAGGTGTGAAAGCAGGATTAAAGAGGACTTATTCTGGAGTGTCTCAGGAATTGCTGGATGTAACAAATGTTCCACAGTGGAAACCACTGCTTTATGCTGTAGCATTTCTGCACACAACAGTGCAAGTAAGACATCTGTTTATTACTTTCTGATGGTGCAATAAACTATAATAGATCTTGTTTCACTAAGAATTATAATTGAATTATGTTCGTCAAATAGGTTTTCTTGAATGTGTAACTGTGGCCAGGCTATGGACATTCAAATATTTACATATACTTTAAAACAAGCCCTCAATGCCCTATGTAGTTGCAGGCACTGTACAGCAATTCACAGTAGAAGCACTAAAATAGTTTTTCAACAGCTTATCTCACTCTTAGAGAGAGAAGAGTGGAAGGAAGGCAAGTCAGTGCTGTAAAGGGGCATAAGAGCTGAGGTGGCTTAAACAACAGCTTCAGGGCCTCTGCAGTGAATCTAGAGGATGAATTGCTCCACAGTGCCCACTTCTACAGAAGTCAGTGAGGGTTGTGTCTTGTTTTAAATCTCATTTATTGCTTTTACAGCACATGAAAACATTTGACTGTCCATATCTTGACTACAGTTACACTTTAAGGAAAAAAACAATATGTGTAAATGCTATTACTTAAATGTATTAGAAATGAAAAAAAATTATTGTGTAAGACATCATCAGTCTTCCAATTAAAGCATTGGGAATTCCAAATGGACTGCATATCAAATATATCAGTCAATATACAAATAATGCATATATCTTTTGGCTCGTGGATTGTGTATCTGAGCCTGAGCAAGCAATTCGGTTGATTTTTTTTTACCATTTGTGCCTTCACAGTTTTTTTGTGTCATACTTTATTTTGATATAATGTGTATTATTTGCAAATGTGCATTTGTCCTCACATGGTACTCGTCCTTTTTTATATATTTTTTTAATTACACAGTGAACATGTGCAATATATCCTGTTTGCCACAGTTTCAAGTTAAGCATATACACCTGTTATTTCTCAAGTTTCTGTTTGCCTGCTTTTTATGTGTGAGGTTTACAAAGTCCACATTGGTTAATTGTTTCTGTTAACTTGATTATTATTGCAGTGCAAATGCTATATTAATCATCCTGCCAATATGTGTTTATCTGTGTAAGGGCAACTTTGTTTTATGCTTACTCTGCTCGAGAACACTTGATAAAGAAAAAAACATCATTCTATTTCTTTGAATAGTTAAAGTGGAACTCCAAAAACAACTAAGCACACAGCTGAAATACAAATATGTTTGATGTTTTACCATTAGTATTTAATTTTCTATACAGCCAATCTTGTGATTTATGCCACATTGGATTCTGGCATATGACAGATATTTCATAGGTTGGGGCTTAGTGCTGGGAATGGCTTGTCTTTATCTTAACTTGAACATCAGTTGAGGCCCCGTGTACAGCCTAGGCTTAAAATATTAGAGGCTCCACAGGGGCACAGGGATTGATTGAAGACTTATGCTAGCCATACACAGCTCAAATTTCAGCTCATTCCTGCTGAATCATACAAAATTCAAGCCAGGGGTGGCTCGATAAACTTCAATTACAAAATTGAACAAATGGAATGGAAAATTGTTGACAGAACAGTGACTGCATCCAATCAGATGTCATCATTGTTCAGGTATTTAGATGCCCACAAGTGCCTGCTGTCTGAATACAATAGCTGGTGGGTGGAGATTCCTCCATTTATGGTAATTAGCCATGTATGGCTAGCTTAACTCTTTCTCATTTGGTGCCTGTCATTGTTGTGACCTTAGATATAGGGTTTAATTTAAGCCAACATTGCAGATCTTTATACAAAGGACTACCTGACCTAAAGCGTTATGGCCAGCCAAAACTTTTTCTTAGTTTTAGACGGGGTTGGGAAGGGTTAGTACTTCTGTTGGGTTTGCACTACTATCCTGGGCATTTTCTTTCACTCCCTGTCTGGTGCAACAGTGATGACAAGTGAGGGAAAATCACATCTAAACCCAACAAGGATTCTAACTTTTCCCCACTCTATCCAACCCCCCCCCCCCCCCCCCCCCCCCCCCCCCCCAACCTTTTTTTTTTAGCCTTTAAATTGAATGAATTGTTCAGGTGCATCCTCAGACTAAATATTTGTTTTTAAATGTATTCAAGATTGTTCTCAAATTGTGCAATCAGATTGTGCGACCATCATAAGGTTGAAACTTTTTAGGTTTATGTATCATTTAAGCAGTTAAACGTTTTATTATATTACAAGGTTTAAAATTAGTAAAATAACATTTGCTTATATAATTACATTTATGTGTCTGAAGTCTTTTAAAATATCTACTTGAAATACTATCCAAGATCGTGGTTACAAGTTTACTCTAACTGTTGTAACAAATATCTATTGTCACCATGCCAATTTACACTGTCTGGATTTTCTTCTATAGGAAAGAAGAAAGTTTGGTCCTTTAGGTTGGAACATCCCATATGAATTTAACCAAGCAGATTTTGCCGCCAGTATTCAGTTTGTCCAAAACCATTTAGATGATGTGGGCACTAAACGACCCGTGAACTGGAGCTGCTTGCGCTACATGCTGGGAGAAGTCCAATACGGCGGTCGTGTGACTGATGATTTGGATAAGACATTACTGAACACATTTGCTAAGGTCTGGTTTGGAGAGCACATGTTTTCTGACAAGTTTTGCTTTTATAAAGGCTATGGAATCCCTAAAGGCAAAGCGATTGATGAATATCTCCACTACATAGAGCAACTGCCATTGGTGGACACGCCTGAGGTAAAAATGTGATTTCCTTTTATATACAACTTTTTGCTGTGCAGCAAACGTCTTCCAAACAGTCTGCTGTTTTTATATTGTTTAAAGTATTGAACTCTCAAACATTTTTTTCAGTAATGTATCCAGATCTAACAAATACTCATTGCCCAGCAAAGCAATCACCTTATGTCATCATGTTATCGAACACACATTACTAGCAAACACAAGGCTGGCTCCATAGGAGCCACCCTAAAACAGGATAGCAGGGCCAGTGCTCAGGAGACCAGCTGATTATCCATGAAACTAAAACTTTAAACTTGCGGAAGCAGCATCCATTCTTAGTGATTTAATCCACATTTGAAATAGCTTAATCAAAAAATTTTGACTTTAATATTGCTTTAACTGTTAGGCTTTGTACACATATTTGTGCTGCAAACTATGGATTGAAAAAGACTAGGTGCAGTTTGAAAAGTGTGATGATACGGTGTACCAGGATGAGGCCTATCATTTTACCCAAAACTGATCATGCAGATGTTTAGGTCCATTCTGTCATAGCTCATTGCACATTATTGCAGATATGTGAACTGTGCCATTGCTTATAATAGTATAGAACAGTAGTTTAATTTTACATGCAGTAAACTGCAGTAATACAATGATGTACAAGAAGTGAAAAAGCCTGGGAAGCCAAAGCTAGCGAAAAGGCCATTCCCCTATGTGATTGTATAGAGGTAATCACAGTACCATATTTGTCACCTATTTTATAATATTATATATCAAGTGCAGAAGTGCCAGGAAGGATTTTTGATGCCTGTTTTTTGCTAATGAACAAACATCATGGGTTTTTTTATAGTCTTATTTTTCACATAAATGTGGATAATTCAGAAGCAGAAAGATGCCAGGGTGGGCTCATGCAGCAAGCACATGATTGACAGCCGTCGTGATTTTTACTAATGTGTGCACATAGGAAATTAGTTTAAAATTTTAAATAGCACACGGGACTTGCAGTTCAAAAAGCATATCTTCTTTATTTCATCAAAGTTGATCACATACAGAGCAGTGTACAAATTATTCTATACATGTTGCCACGTTATAACGTCTGCAACTGTTAATGGAATAAAGGAGAGGCTATGCTTTTTGAATTGCAAGTTGCATTTCAGATTTTATATTGTGACTTTACCCCAACAGTACCTGGCAGGGTTAACTATTGCATAGGGCGTTGTTCTCAGAGATGTGCGCTCTTACCTTGATTGAAGCACTACATACACAGGAAATTAGTACTGAATATGAATTCTGTGTTTAGCTGTACGCTTTTTCTCTACAATGTTTTTTTTATATTTAAAATGAATGTCCAGTGAAGACATACACTTTTTTGCACTTTTATGCACTGCATGCTGTTCACTTCACTCTAATATTTACATTAGGATTACACAATTATTAATACTTTATGTATTTGTGTTGCTTTCTTATAGGTCTTTGGGTTGCATCCTAACGCAGACATAACTTACCAGACAAACATGGCAAATGAGACACTAAGTACAATAGTCAATATTCAGCCCAAGGACAGTGGAGGAGGTGCAGGAGAGACAAGAGAGACTATTGTGCAGCGACTAGCAAATGAGATGCTGGAGAAATTACCAGAGGACTACATCCCTCATGAGGTATGATTTGTGAAACTCATAACATGCTAGGCTGTGTCACTCAGCTATATTTAGCTTCCCACTTAACAATTTACACTAAGTGTAAGTGCTGCACAGTAAAATATCAGCTGTGCATGCCAGCCCATGTGTTCATCAAACAAGATGATTTTATTACCTACAGTAAATATCTTCACACATCTGCTGCTGACATTAGTCTGCTTATTGATCTTTTATTTTAGCAACATTTCCGTAAATTACCCTGGTGCTTCAGACACTTGACGTAAAAGCATCTTAGCCAAGGCTAGAATTCCATGTGCGACCTTGAGCGATCCAATCATAGCAATTTATTGATTTACACAAGGTTTCAGAAATTATTGTCTGTGCATGTTTTTCATATTGATTATTTCCCTGATCTTCAAAGTAAGTGGAAAATCATGGTTTGCATTAACTTATAGTATATTGTTAAGCAGCTAAAACTGGAGAATGTAGCATATCACAGTAGCATCAGGTAAAATAGATTTTGTTTGAAACTGGCTTAAATAAAGGGTTGGTTATTTAAACCCCAATAGTAAAAATAGATTGTTCTAAGCAAATATACACAGCTATAATTATCGAAATAATATTAAAAACAATAAAGCAGAAGAATAAATAAAGTGCAACCCAGACTTTTTTTTCTTAAAGTGGAAGTAAGGGGAAAGAAATTGCTGATTGGCTGGCTTTCTATGGCAAAAGAGACTGTCTAAGTCTGTTCTGCAATAAAAGCTTCTTTTTAACTTTCTGTAATTGTGCAGTTCAGTGCACAGACCCGGTGTGGCATGATGAAGTAACTCCTGTGTACATGCACAAAAGTTTCATCATCGGGGCCCAGCCAATCAAACGGCCAAAGACTCAAAACCTGGAGGAGGGCCGAGCTAAAGATGCAAGTGCGGGAGAGGAAGAAATGCGACGCTGGAGGGGACAGGTTTTGGAAGAAAGCCTGCTATAGTGGACCAATATGCATTGCATTCTAGCACATTATGTCTAAAAGCTCCTGGGGCCCTGTTGTATTTTTTAAAAATTTGTTTTCTGCTTTAAAGCTCAACTGAACTTTCAGTTAAAATCAGCTAAATACATGCTAGGTGCATCAAAACAAAAGGTGTTAGATGTCTTACAGCTAATTTTCTTTCTAAAGGAACTACAGCCTAAGTGGAAAAGCCTGTCCTCTGTCAGCAGCTGCAGTGTAGAAACCTTGCTCTCAGTTTGGAAGCAGTGGTCTCTCTACAAAGGTCCTAGTTTTGCAATCAGCAAAGCTCATGCTCTCTGCTTATTTGAGAACTCTGACTTTGACTTGGTAGGGGGCATGTCATGCCACTGCAAATAAATCACTGTTTTCCAACAAAGAGCAATGCATCCGCTCTGCAGCTGCTGGCAGGCAACAGGCTTTTGTACAGGCTGTAGCTGCTTTAAACAAAAATGTAAGACACTGAACATGTTTTTAAGCACCCAAAATGTATTTAGCTTAGTTAAACTGAAGGCTCAATTGGGCTTTGAATTTCAGAGTAGAAAAACATTGACTTTTGGTTTATGTTAGAGCGGACAACAGAAAGTGTGGGAAAATAATTCCAGTGGGACATGAACAGCAATACAAATCTAACACAGGTTTAAGACGGTATAAAAACCAATTGTGCTTCAGATGTAATCATTTCATAACAAAACATTTATTGCATTTTGTTTAGAAATCATGTGATACTGTGGAATCCTAAACCTCCAATTTTCCACAGTTGTTGCGCTTCCAGACCTTTAACACAGCTATTGTGCAAAGTAAAGTTTTAGTGCCTGTGTGGTAAAGGTCACATTCACTGGGTTACAAATGGGATATAAATAATACAGCAAACACTGTCCCACTGAAGATCAGATGAGGGTAAATGTTGCTCGATCTAGTGAATGTAACATAGAAATGCGGTGAATGAGTCACAGGTGAATGTGCAGTATACGTGTCACATTCATGTAAATATATGTAATGTAACACAGAGAGGGGAATTTCTCAAAACTAGAGCAGACAAAATCTGGAGCAGATGTGCACGGCAGCCAATCAGCTTCTCTCTTTCATTTTCAAATGTTAACTGAACAAATTGAAGAGAGAAGCTGGTTGGTTGCTGCAGATTTTTTTTGCTCCAGTTTTGATAACTTCCCACAGAATGTTTTAGTCTCTTTATTTATGTGGTATATAAGCAGTGCATAACATATACACTAAACTGCCAAAAGTATTGGGACACCCCTCCACATCATTGGATGCATGTGTTCCAATCACCTATGGCCACAGGTGTATAAAAGCAAGCACCTAGGCATGACTGCTTCTACAAACATTTGTGAAAGAATGAGTCACTCTCAGGAGCTCAGTGAATTCAAGCGTGGTACCTTGATAGGTTGCCACCTGTGCAATAAGTCCATCCGTGAAATTTCCTTGCTACCAAATATTCCACGGTCAACTGTTAGTGGTATTATAACAAAGTGGAAGCAACTGGTTACAACAGCAACTCAGCCACAAAGTGTCAGAGCGGGGTCAGCGCATGCAGACAGAAGTCGCCAACTGTCTGCAGATTCAATATCTACAGACCTCCAAACAGTGCGTAGAGAGCTTCATGAAATGGTTTTCCATGGCCAAGCAGCTGCATCCAAGCCTTACATCACCAAGTGCAATGCAAAGCGTCGGATGCAGTGGTGTAAAGCATGCCGCCACTGGACTCTAGAGAAGTGGAGACGTGTTCTCTGGAGTGACGAATCATGCTTCTCTGTCTGGCAATCCGATGGATGTGTCTGGGTTTGGCGTTTGCCAGGACAATGGTACTTGCCTGACTGCATTGTGCCATGTGTAAAGTTTGGTGGAGGGGGGATTATGGTGTGGGGTTGTTTTTCAGGGGTTGGGCTTGGCGCCCTAGTTCCAGTGAAGGGAACTCTTAAGGCATCAGCATACCAAGACAGTTCGGACAATTTCATGCTCTCAACTTTGTGGGAACAATTTGGGGATGGCCCCTTCCTGTTCCAACATGACTGCACAAAGCAAGGTCCATAAAGACCTGGATGAGTAAGGTTGGCTGGAGGAACTTGACTGGACATGCACAGATCCTGGCCTTAACCCGATAGAACACCTTTGGGATGAATTAGAGTGGAGACTGCGAGCCAGGCCTTCTCGTCCAAAATCAGTACCTGACCTCACAAATGCACTTCTGGAAGAATGGTCAAACATTCCTATAGGCACACTCCTAAACCTTGTTGACAGCCTTCCCAGAAGAGTTGGAGCTGTTATAGCTCTATATTGAACCCTACGGACTAAGACTGGGATGCCATTAATGTTCATGTGCGTGTAAAGGCAGGCGTCCCAATACTTTTGGCAATATAGTGTATGTTTTAGTGGTCAGAATACTTGATTTTAACAATTGTTTTGCTTAGAATAAAGTTTAATTTGAAACTTCCCTTTGAACTGTATGTTAAATTTTATTCGTATAATCCTATATACCGAATACATTATTCATGCTAAAAGGACAGAAAAATTGTCTGTCTTTATCTCTTTTGGGTGGCCTTTCAGTGCAATTTAACAGTGTGAATGTATTAGTTAGAGGAAAAGTCTGTTGCCTGTCATATTTAAATACAGAGCACAATTAGGTGCTGAAAATTTAGATGAGCAAATTGTATGAAGGTGGGATGAAAAGAATATATTAAAATCAAGTTTCATTTAGATTCCTGAAACCAAACTGTGCATTGCTGAAAGATATAGTTAAGGTTTAATAAAAGCAGACATACATTTGGAATTTCAGGCAAATGAACACAATGTGCACACAAACCTGTTGTTTTTTTTTTAACATGTAAGGATTAGGATACAGGTTAGTGCACTGGATAGTATAAAAATGTGCATTGATAGCTAACATATGCAAGCAAAGTTGCTGAAGTCACAGTCACTGAGCAATGTTTGGTTATAATAAAAATGTATGTTGTAATTGTTCAGATCCTTATTCAAACTAGTGTTCTTTATAAACTGTTGTCTGTAATATTGGCAGTAGACCTGCCTCTAATTAGAATGTCAGTTGATTTTTTTTTCATTTTTTTTATTTATTACCGTATTTCAATAAAAAGTTAGGGCTTGGAATGCATTATCTAAATTTCAAAATGTAAAACATATCAAAAAAATACACAGAGACCCTATGACATTATTACTTATACTTACCACCCTTTTTTAGGTGAGTGCTGTTCTGATTTTCAGAATTATGTAAAGAACATTTAAGTAGAAAATGATCTAATATGTATGTGCCATTCTCATTATCTGGACACCCATATTTATAGCGCACAAAGGTTACTCAAGGGCCACCAAACAAGGAGTATCACCATTATTTTAGTACTGGACATGGAATGCAGTTGTTTGTATCTCTTAGACTCAGTTTCAGAAACACAAAAGATACATTCTTTTATGGAACTGTTAATATACAGTAAAGATTGTTTAGACTCAGCGAGCCCAGCTTAAAGCTGAACTCCAGCCATCATTTAAAAATTGCTATTTAGTTGCCCCTTTCCCTATTGTACAGCAAGGGTTAACTGCTCATTTAGTCTAGGGGAAAGGAATAAAGTGTAATATTTACTTTATTCCTTGCTCTTGCAGGCTTTTTTTCCTGCCATATGGTCAGTCCCACAAGGGCATCGGCTTCTCTGATGTCATCCCATTCAGTGCATTGTTGGTGAGGATATTGAGTGCCCACCCAAGAGTAGAGTCAGCAGAGTAGAGGAGTACGCTGGCTGTTTGAGGAACAAAGAATAATGTAAGTATTTCTTCTTATTCTTTTTTCTCTAGACTAAACAAGCTGGTAACCCTTGCTGCACAAAGGGGAGGGGCAACCAAAAAGTGTTTTTTCAGTGCTGACTGGAAATCATTTCAGTTTCAGTATACCTCTCCAATACTTGTACTAAGTGAATTCTGTCTTTGGCAATATTTATGAGGAGGCCCACTTGCCCTGGACTTAATAATGTCTTAAACAAACCGTAAATATTAGAAAAGTGGAATACATGATAGCTAGGTTGATTATTATTATAACAAACAGAAAAAGAACACAGCGCTCTCTTAGGAATGTGGGGTCTGTGTGGGTGCAAATGATCTGGATTGCTGCTCTAAGAACAGGGGGAGAAACCTGTGAACTGAAAAAAAGGAGGGGGAAAATTTATTAATTTTTGTTTTTCCACCCGCCACATACAGACACTGGTTGTCCCTATACCCCTCACATTCCCAGGATTTGCGCTCTAATTTTCCCCCTCCTTTGATTATTATTATATGAGACTAAGTATATGGCAGGCTATTAACTGTGTGAATAGACCTGGTAAAAAAGAAATCTTTGGGCTAGGGTTATGTGGGTGGTTTGAATGTGATGCCACAGAGAAATCTAACAACTTGCTGGTAGTGACCTAATTAGCAGCACACTGAAATGAATGTTCTACTAATAAGATGGTTGTCAAAAATACGCAAATCTCTCTGTAGCTCTCTGAGTATATAATCACCAATGTATCCCTAGCCTAAGAGCTGTTAGATTTTTCTTTAATACACCAATTTAACACAAAACTTTTTGCTACAGGTTAAGGCTCGGCTGCAAAAAATGGGCGCAATTCAGCCAATGAATATATTCTTACGTCAGGAAATTGATCGCATGCAGCGCGTAATCACTCGAGTCAGAAATACACTTACTGATCTTAAGCTGGCAATAGATGGTAAGAAAGTCTGTTCTTCAATTTGGTCTTAAGTTTTATCTGTTTTACCTGTCACACTGTAGTACAGGAAATGTTGGGATGACCCAACATTTAAAAAAAATACATTACTGGAATGTATATATAAAAATTCAAGAGTGTAATTTTCACAAGAGGATCAGAACTCTGGACTCTGTTACAGTGGCAGCTATAGCAGTGAGAATGTGGCTGAGAGGATGTCAAGAGTAATTTTTACATAAATGTACTATTCTAAATGAAGAAGAGCATGGGCAAAACCCTATAAAAACCTTAGCTGTATGATAAATATTGCCATGATTTAAAAAGCAGAAATTATGAAAAGATCCAAATTGCATGTCTTTTCAGTTACAAGCTTTCCAAATGCCAAATTGTGAAATATAATCCACCAGGCAACCTTTTCATTAATGTGCACTGTAAGCAACAAAACCTGAACTTGAGCTGACATTTTTAGGGAAAAAATAGCTATTCACTCTTTAAAAAGAGATGTTATAGTTTGAAGAAATAATATACAATACAATGCTCTTACATATGTGTATATTTTTTATCCTTGCCTGTAAAGTCTGTCTAATTGCTCTGTTCACAGACAGTTGCAAGAGACAAAACAAAATATATATTTTTTTAATATCTATCTGGAGAAGGGAAATTGTAGAACAAAACCCATTAAACCTGTATAGGCCTGCAGGAACAGTACTTTAGAGAGATTTTAGCAGGCAGCAGGCAGCTTGACTTGTGATCACACACTGTTATGGAGAAAACATGGAACAGTTTGCCTATTTGTGCTTAACTTCTTTAGCAACATTTAAATGACGTGAGAGCAATTAAATTGTAGCCAAATATACCCTAAATTACAGAAAATGTTCTCTACTGATCAGTGCTTTTTTCGTCTTTTTTTAATTTAGTTTCAAAGTTATTGTGTAGGCTCTTTCATAATATGCCTCAGTAGAACATGACTCAGTCCAAATAATAGGTTTCAGTGCTTATTATATAAATTCCAAGGGATAATGACTTTTACACAGGACACATACTGGCCATGGCTCATGCTGATAATATAGACTATTTTGTACAGTACTTGCAGAATTATACAACTGTTTTATGATCTATGAAAAAAGATGTCTGTCACATTATCTATATATGTGCCATATACTGTATGTGTCAGGCGGCTTACTGTTACTTCATGTGATGATCCTCGGAAAGAAAAAAATTGGGTTGGGGAAAAAAAATCTATTTGTTTCAGTGCCAACAATTGCACATACACAGAATCCAATAAAGCCATTATTGACTGAAAAAGATTGGAAAAAAAGTGATGGCTTGTTTAGAAAAATAATAATTTACAGATTTGAATCAGGCAAATCAAAAGCAAAGTAAATTTTGCAAGGCTCAACCTTCTCTACCCATTCATCTTGAGAAATTTCTATAATATTCATTATAATACAACTGCTTTAGCCTGTCCTGTGCTGTTCATTGACCTTTGCATGTAACCTTTGGCATGAATGCTTTGACTTATATGCTACGTTTTAAGTTTATTTTTAACCATGAGTACTACATTTGCTAAAACTGGACAAGAAGGAATGAGCTCTAAAAGTCCCAAGAAGTCTTGTACTGTAGAACAGTATTAAAAATAGCATTTTTTTTACAAAGCAGATGTAAGTATTGCCAGGTAATAGTTAATTCCATAATGTAAACTATAGTGTTACCACTGCTTAGAAGTAAGTGTTAATATTTATTTTTGTTTAGTGACAAAAACAGCAAGATCTTGTTTTTTTAAAAACAAGTAACCCACAAGGTTTGAAAAATGAGGAGCACATGGATCCTAGTTAACAGTATATCAGCATAGGAAGCTTTAAATGTTTATTCATTTCCAAAAGTATCACTCCCATTTCTTCTAACCATTCCTTCTAATTTGAGAAGAACACTTATTCTTTATGTTTAGCAGATGACTTGAATTGCATCCAATGAAGCCAAATGTTCACCAATTTTACGTACATCTGTGTAGCAAAATTCATTATTGTTCCCTTCAAACACGCAATCTGGAGATGTTTAACATAAATAATTAGGGTTCTAGTTACAGTTACCTAAGAGAAAGGCTTTATGAAGTAATAAATCTTTTAGCTTAAAGCAGGGCTTAAAATTTCAAGTCTTGAGCTACTAGGCAGGCCCGAAAGTTACTTGCCACCAGTTGCCGCACCCAACCTCTACCCTGCCTCGGCCTTAACTCCGCCCCTAAACACGCCCTCTTAAATTATCTTATGAAATTACATTGTTAAATGTTTTATTCAGAATAAAGTTACAAAAATAAATAACCGCTTTTACAATAATTTTACAATATTTAAGCCTTAAAGTATTCCTTGATGGTAACCTAGGCAGTCACTGCTGGTCTTATGATGGACTAGATATCAAGGAAAGGTCTGGACTTTCTGAGTGGTACCTTTAGTTACATAGTTACATAGTATTTGAGGTTGAATAAAGACGTAAGTCCATTAAGTCCAATTTATTTTGTGCATGTATATGGTTCTGCTGGTGTATGCGTGTGTAAGTTCAGTGCAATAACACCTTAAAACACATTTCCACCTTTAGCATATGTCTCATTAGTTTCTGGCAACAAGCACCTGTCGTTAGTGAAATCCACAGTGAAGAGCAATGGTTTTTTCTGTGTTACTTCCTATGCACACCACTCTTCTTCAGTGTGGACTGACAGAGCCACAGGTCATTATAAATCATTCTGTAACCTTTTTCAGTCTGATGGACTTTAGCAACTCTTTTTTGAGGCTCTTTTTACATTCTTTTGATAGGACTAACTTTCAACAAGCCAAGCCAACTTCGACCACAATTAACAAATGTATATATTTGTTCTGTATATTTAGCTGTTTGGCTGGTTGCCCTTTAAGCCTACATCTCCGTGTAGCCATAGGTCAATGTTGTGGGCATTTCACAATATCGTTTGAAGCAAAGTGTTTCAAATAGCTTGTAATTGAAGTGTATTGCATTGAATTATTTGTCCAATTTATGAAACAGTTTTGTGAAAAGAGATGTTACCTAGCCTAATTTCTTCAGTAGGTAGTAATATCATCCTTTATTTCTGGCAATCTTTAGAAAATATGCTGTATTGACAAAACAATTTCAGCTACTTAACTGTACGTCATGGTTGTACAGCAACTGTACAAGTGAAATGTAAACTGGAATCTGCGGGATTAAGCTTATGTTTTCTAAATTAATTCTCCCTGTACATGAAACAAAACATGTCTGCCTGGTAATGGAATGTAGAAAGGATGTCTTTATCGATGCTCTTTGCAATAAGAAATCTAATTGTGGCAATTATAATAGAAGCAAATGATAACAATAACAGCTTGACAAATGGGTGTGCTTGGGTGATTGCTGTACTGCAGATTAATCTGTCAGGCTCAGTAACATCAATATTCTGTTGTTCCCATGGAGGTAAACTAATCGTTATGTACGCAATATGGATGAGTACAGTCTCACACATTTTTATTGCTGTCCATGGAAACTTTACACATCTTCCTTTTTCTTCACACATTCACATTCCCAAGTCCGCTTAGCCTACAAGCTTCTTACAGAAGGCGCAGTCCAATACACAAATATGAAGAAACCACTGCTGAATTTATCATTGATGGTGCAGGTGAAATGTCACTGTGCAGGTGAATTTGATGTGAACATTTGCACAAATTGTCCCTATTTATGAAATAGGCACAAATTGCTATAATAAATTTGATGCAAAGTACAAAATGACACAAGAGCGACATTCCTGCAACATTTACTTTACAACTGGTAGCGCAGTCAGAGTGAGGCGAACAGGAGTAAAGATATGCCTGGGCCTTTAACAACAAGTAACTAAGTAATTGAAAGATTTTTTTAGAAAAAAGATTGAAACCTTAACAAACAGAGGTGAAATGTGTGCAGCCCAAAAAGTGATTTTCCTTAAGCTAAATCTGGAAACTGTAAAGGAAAGAGGAAATATCTGATGGAGGAATATTCTAATGAATGTGCAACAGTGGGGTGTAGCACAATGTGTGTGTGTGTGTGTATATATTGCAAATGTATATATGTGTGGATAGATAGATAGATAGATAGATAGATAGATAGATAGATAGATAGATAGATAGATTGATAGATTAAAAAACACATACATTGCCATCAAAATTATTAAAATACACACAATTTTTATTCATCACACATAAATGTGTTTCTAAATACGTCACAAGCATTAAAAAGCTTTGCAGTCATAGTCAGAGAAAAAAAAATGCAAGACTGTTTACCACCACATAAATTGCCCTGTGGTAGCCTAGTCACAAGGATCTCTGCCAGGTCAAGATTGGTGCAGTTTGTGCACAGTACTGTGAATTTGGCACATGATTGTGTTAAATTTGGCAGAGAAACTGTGACAAATTACTGAAATGTTGCAAATAGCCTCATGCTTACTCAATGTATATTGGTGGCATATATTTATTTTAAAAAGTACCTCTGCAAAGGTGGAAATGGGTTTTAAGGTGTCATTGCAATGAATTTACCACATACACATTATATTATCATAGCTTGTGGTATGTCAGAATCAACAGTGATCAGCACTGTAGTGACATCACCAAATCGCATTCCAAATCTTTTTTCGTGGTCAGAGGCAACAGTGACATTGCTGACATACATCTATGAGGATACTTAATATAAGAGCTTAGCCACTCTAGTTGCTTCAGTCACATGTCAGGAAGTGTGCTGCTATTTTTCAAGAAGAACTCAAGACAAAACAGTAGTTTTTTTCAGGGTCCTTCTTAGGCAAAATTATCCTTTCTAGATGTTCCCTCTAAGGTTGCAAATCTGTAGTTCAGATCCACATTAATATTCATTTTGGTTAACTGAATGTGTAAAAGTTCTACACGGAAATCTACCCTGAGAAAAATAATTGGTGCATGTGAAATATCTCATGCTGCTTTGTGAACTGACGCTAAGGTAATAAACCAAAGAATAGATATGCCAAA